CACTGGTGTGTGATTTCTCACTTGCTGCCTCTCTGTCTGTCTGGCGAGCACACGTACCCTATAACAAAAACTTGTCAAAAAAAAAAGAAAGAAAGAAAGAAAAAGAAAAAAATAATAAATAAGAAAACACTGACTCTGAAAGGAAGAGATTGGTGCAAGAAAGCGTGGTTTCCAGGGTTTGCAGAGCTCACATGGAGTGGGGTGAGCGGCAGGGAGCTGCCTCCCCCCTGCTAATCTCCCAGCGCCTCATTCATTCAGAATCTCAGCTGTGTCCTCAGTGGTAGGCCCTGCTGCTGCGGGACCAGAAGATTCATAGGCAGGCTGAGACTCAGGAGGCTCACAGTCCAGGGGAAATAGAGCGGTCTTCCTCCAGGTGGCCCTGCTCGGGTATCGCAGCCTGGGCAGTGTTCTTGCCAAACTCGGCCCCAGTTGGGATGGATTTTCTTCTGTTTCTCTGTCTCCCCATGGGACTAGACTGGGGGCTCCTTCAGTGTAGGACAAGATCTGATTCACCTGTGTCTGGCGCTACCCCTGCCCTAGCTCCCTCCCACCTGGCTGGGGTCTCTAGGCTCACCGAGCCAGGTGTCTGAGCCCATGAGGGCTACTGGGCAGGGCGGGTCTCTTAACCCGCTCCCCTCTGCAGTGATGATGAAGGTGAGGATGACGAGGATGAGGAGGAAGAGGAAGGAGAAGAGGAAGAGGAAGAAGAAGAGGAAGAGGAAGAAGAGGAGGAGGAGGAAGAGGAGGAAGAACCACAGCAACGAGGGCAAGGAGAGGCGTCGACCACACCCTCAAGGAAGATTCTGGACCCTAACAGTGGAGTGAGTTCTTTCTTGTTAAACAGGATCAGAGGCCTGGCCTCCTAACTACAATATCCTGGGACTTTTTTTTATGTACACGCCTGAGTTAAAAAAAAAGAAAAAAAGGGACCAGCAATTAGCATAATGGCTATGTCGCTGGACTCCCACGTAGTCGACCGCGGTTCGCTTCCCGGACCCGGTGGCTTAAAACTCAAACCAGGCGTGTGTGCGTGCATGCCCAAGATCCTGAGAGAAGAATAGAGGAGAAGGGATTGCAGCGTGGCCATCCCACCTGGGGGGTGATTTCTCGCCTTCTCTCTGTCTCTCTCTCTCTCTCTCTCTCTCTCTCTGTCTGGCGAGCGCACGCGCCCTACAGCGAAAACCTCTCCAAAAAAAAAAATTATCCCAACATAGGGATATTTGCCTCTATTTCTGTTTTTCCCGATGTCATTTATAACTTATAAAATTATATTATGCTGCTCTGTGATGTATGTTATAAAACATACAGAAATATTTTTAAAAGAACAGAGTAAAAAAATAAGCATGAATAGAAATTCTGGTATTTTTTTTCCTCTACCCACCAGTGGTTTATTTTTATGACTTTTTTTTTTTTTTAAGAAAAGAATTATTTTATTTAGCTTTATTTATTTATTTATTTAATTTGGTTAGAGAGGGACAGAGCGCGTGAGAGAGAAGGAAAGTGAGAAAGCAAGTTGCAAGATCTGGGATTTGAACTATAGTCAGCCATGTGGGAGTCCAGCGTGCTTAACCACCATGCCACCTGCTGGCCCCAACTCTTTTTTTTTTTTTTTTAAGAGAGTTGTTTTTTTTGTTTTTTTTTTTTTACTTAACTATTTATTTATTAATTCATTTGTTTTAACTTGACCAGAGAGAGGCAGAGAGAATGAGAGAGAGAGAAAGTGAGAAAGTAAGCCACCAGGTCTGGGACATGAACTGCAGTTGACCATGTGGGAGTGTCCAGCACCTTAATCACCATGCCACCTGCTGGTCCCTTAAGAGAGATTTTTGGGACCAACAGGTGGCATGGTGATTAGGGGCACTGGACTCCCACATGGCTAACTGAGGTTTGAGTCCCAGACCTGGCAGCTTGCTTTCTTGCTTTCTCTCTTTGTCTCTCTCGTTCTGTCCCTCTCTGGTCAAATTGAAATACGTAAGTAAATAAAATTTAAAAAATAATTCTTTGAAAAAAAAAGAAAGATTTTTGCTATAGGGCATGTGCACTCACCAGAGAGACAGAAAGTGAGAAATCACCCCTCGGGGGGGGGTGTGTGGCCATGCCTCAGTCTCTTCTCCATTCTCCTCTTGGGATTTTTGGGCACGTGGACACATATGCATGCACATGTGCACGGCGTGAGTTTCAAGCCTCTGGGTCCAGGACTCAAACCAAGGTCTTCTTCGTGGGAGTCCAGTGACATAACCATTATGCCATCTACTAGTCCTCTTGGTGATTTTTTTTTTTTTTTTTTTTGAGAGGTTTTTGCTATAGGGCGCGTGCACTCACCAGAAAGACAGAGAGAGACAGAAAGTGAGAAATCAACCCACGGGGTGGGAGATGGCCACACTGCAATCCCTTCTCCTCCATTCTCCTCTTGGGATCTTGGGCACGCACGCACACGCGCTTGGCGTGAGTTTTAAGCCACTGGGTCCCAGACGCGAACCGCGGTCGGCTATGTGGGAGTCCAGCGACGTAGCCATTACACTAACTGCTTGTTCCCCCCATTGGTGACTCTTAAGGATGGCCTCTCAGTCCTGAGCCTGTGGCTGGATCAGGACCTAGTTTGGGCACTTGGTGTAAGTTGCCTGGCCAGGAGGCCGGTGGCCTCAGGACTTCTGGGCCTTCACTTCATTCATCTGTATTCCTTCTGAGGTTCCTAAATAAAGGTTCTGGGGAACTTGGGGTTGGACCAGGACTCCCCACACTCCTGTTGAGTTGGACTGCTTTTATGGAAGCGGTAGTTCTGTGGTTGGTTTTGGCTCAGTTTTGAGTGCTTCTTGAGGCTCCTCTTATGTTGGCTGGCAGTGCTTACTCAGGCTGGACTCTTCTGGCAGGGTGTCGCCAGCCCTGCATGCCTCTAGAGTCATTCTGGGCATTGTGTGTCATGGCAAGGAGTCTCTTGGCCATTCTGAACTTTCAGAAATTGAGGGAGGAGGCTTGCCCTCTATCCCAAAGGCTTCTTTGGAGCAGGAGCCAGCCAGGACCAGCACCTGTGGGCCCCACCCTTGAGGAGTGGCAGCTAGAGAGGAGAAGGATTCTACACTCGGATCATGCACCGGCTGGAGTGAGGGGTGTGGGGATGGGCAAGCCGGTGGAGGGCTTGGAAATTCTACAGAGCCACCTATGCCACCCACTCCCTAGGAACCAGCTCCAGTGCTGTCCTCCCCGCCTGCTGCCGACGTCTCCACCTTCCTGGCCTTCCCCTCTCCAGAGAAGCTGCTGCGCCTGGGGCCCAAGAGTTCCGTGTTGATAGCCCAGCAGGTAATGATGCCCTCTTTGACTCCATGGCAAGGGACAAACAGGGCATGGGGGCTAAGAAGTGGGGCTGCTAATGGGAAGGGGGCTGACCTGCCCATTTGTTTTTAATGCAAACAATACAAACACATAAACAAGTGTATGTCCGTGGTGGCTGTCACCACCTCCAGCAGTTGAAGTAGTCCGTGTCCCACAGAGAATGTATTTTGGCCTGCATTCTGGTGGGACATCTTGGTGGTGACTGGAGTTAGGGGATTTTCTTTTCCTTTTTTTCCTTTTTTTTTTTTTTTTTTTTTTTTTTTTTTTTTTTTTTTGTTATAGGGCATATGCATTCACTGAAGACACAGAGAGAGACAAGAGAAAGTGAGAAATCACCCCCTAGAGGGGATGGGAACACTGCAGTCCCTTCTCCCAGGATTTTGGGAACATACGCACACATGCCTGGCATGAGGTTCAAGCTACCAGGTTCGGGACTTGAACTGTAATTGGCCATGTGGGAGTCCAGCATCTTAACCACTGTGCCATTGGCTGGCCCCTAGTTAGGAGATTTTCTTAAGACTGTTTCTGGGGACCAGCAGTTAGTGTGACGGCTATGTCACTAAACTCCCATGTAGTCAACCATGGTTTGAGTCCTGGATCTGGTGGCTTAAACTCACGCCGGGCGTGTGTGTGTGCGTGCCCGAGATCCCGAGAGGAGAATGGAGGAGAAGGGATTGCGACCTGGCCATCTCCCCTGGGGGATGATTTCTCACTTTCTGTCTCTCTGTCTTTCTGGCAAGCACATGCGCCCTGTTGCAAAAACCTCTCAAAAAAAAAAAAAAAAGGACTGTTTCTGGTGTGCACACAGCACCTAGGCTTCTCTCTGCACGCTCTGTAAGCCCAGCTGCTTCGAGAACAACTCCCGGCCCCGGGCCCCTGTGAAGGCTCCATGCTGACTGCGGGAAGACTGTCTTGCCTCACCTGCTTATTGGTCGGGTGGTGGGTTCATTGGTTTGGAGGTGATTACTGAGGGCCTGTTTTCTGCCAGGCACTGTCCTTGGGCATGATTTCATTGTTCCCTTTTGGCAACCCGAAGGGCCCTGGCACTCTTTATTTATTTATTTTTTAAATTTTACCAGAGAGGGGCTGGCAGGGGTCTGGTGATTGGTGGTTACATTGTTAAGGAGCATCTAGACAAGAAGGTGTCGGGCTCATTAGCAAAGACAGTGAGACTATTAGTCACTCTGTTTACTCCGGGCAACAGAAGGAAGCTCACAGAGGGAAGCGCTTCTGCTTCATTTCCACTGCTCTATGAAAACGGATCAGATCAGTGGTTCATCTACCACAGTGGCTAATATTTTTATAAACGCATTTTTATATTTTGGGTGTGTAGGATGTCTGTGTATATAGGGGTATAGATCTTTAGACTTTTAAGGAGCATTATAGTTTGATTTTTAGCATTATGGATTTACAGTTTTAGTAAGGGCAGAATTATCATTAGTAAGACAATAAGTTGTTTTTTTGGTTGGCCAGGGCAAAAGTAAAATTTATTTAATGTAAGTTTTTTCTTTTAGTTATTGTCTACGCAGGTTAAACAAATATAACATGACATTTAAAGATAGAGGTGCTTCTGCTTCAGTCGTGGGCTCTCTCGCTTGTGAATGTTGTTGCCGTCAGCTGGGTTACTCAGGTTAGAGTAGCAGTTGGAGACCACCGGGTCCCAGGGAGAGTGATGCGGCGGCCTAGTGCTGCCTCACTCTGACCTGTTCTTCACTCCCTGTGTGCTGCATACTGCTCTGGCCAGCCCGAGCCAGACTGAGGGGACAGCATGGCGTGAGGCAGTACCATCCTGGCCCACCAGGGGCCTGTGCAGGGGCAAGGCCTCTCTGCTTCTATCAGCAGCAGAACCAGCACGTCACCACTATGTCCCAAGCCCTGGACTCTGGCCTCTAGTGACCAGCCATTTGTCTTGTGTTCTCAGACTGACACATCTGACCCGGAGAAGGTGGTCTCTGCCTTCCTGAAGGTGTCTTCTGTGTTCAAGGACGAAGCCACCGTGAGGACAGCCGTTCAGGATGCAGTAGGTAACGTGGGCTGGAGGGGACTTTGGGTGGCTCACCCCCTTGGTGCTCCCAGGCCACAATGACTTTATTTGTGGCTGCCATGACTCCTTTCCCCCTGGGCTGATGCTGATGTAAGAACTGCAGTCGGGCATCTTCCACCTGGTCTGTCAGGTCTGGGCCGCGGCCCTGCGGGGGCAGGCTGCTTGCTGTCCTCTGTCTTTTGCAGCTGGGAGGCTGAGGCCTTTCCAGAGCCATACGGCTCTGCATCTGGGCAGGTGGGGTCGCTTCTATGTGGGAGGGCCAAATAGTCAAGCCCATAAGGCCCAAGGGACCTGGTCCTGTGGGGAGGTAAGGTGGAAAAAGCTGAGCCTTTGTCCTCACCTGGGAGCCTTACACAACCTGTACCCCCACCTAGAGCTCCCCTGTGGAGACGCCTGCTTTCTCTGTCCTTCATGAGGCTTTCTAGACTCCCTGGTCCCTCCCACAGCCTCTCCTCTCAGTCTCCTCCATGCCACTTCTCATCGCCTTCTGCCTTGTTAGTTTGAGCCTCCAAGGGTGGGCAGATCAGGCTAGGCAGAGGGGACTGTCTCAGGTCAAGGGCACAGCTCATGGAAAGGGAGAAAAAGGAGGACCACGGATGCTTCTCCTTAGGTGAGGACACTGGGGCAGCACCGAGGCAGGGGTGGTGCTATGGGAAACCAGGCTGAGAGGAGGTGGGAGTGCCCCAGTTTGTCCCCAAGAGCCCACTTTCTGACACTGGACAGGTTCGCGGGATTCTGTTTCCCGGGACGGCCTGGCACAGTCCCTGCAGGTCCCCTTCACCTCACTGAAATATCTACAACCCGCCTGCCCAGGGTGGTCGTCTGCCTTAGTCTCTGCCCACGCCGTGCAGGTGGGCATGGTGTGGGGAGGGGTCTCTACACCCACTTCGCATGGGATGCCAGGTCCAGGGAAGGGCCAAAGTGTCAGGGCCAGCCCGTCCCTGGCCCTGGCTGCCCACCCCTGACCCCATCGTCCATCCCTGTGCTTACCTCTTGATGAGGACAGGGAGGCAGGCCACAGCAAGGCGACCCGGGGGCTCTGGGTGGGCGCGAGCCCATCT